GGACTTCAACTCCCAGAATTCCCCAGCCAGCATTCGCGGGCTGGGGAATTCTGGGAGTTGAAGTCCGGACATCTTCAAGTTGCCAAGGTTGAGAAACACTGGTCTAGGGCCTCCTCCTTGAGAAGGGGGTTGGACTAGAAGACCTCCAAGGTCCCTTCCAACTCTCTTGTTGCATTAATACTGTAGTGACGCCAGTAATAGCCCCTCGTGAAAGAGGAAGCAGAAAGCCGACAGCGAGGGAAACGTGAAAGGTATTCTCAACCTCTCTGAGCATGAGGTGGAAAAACAGGAGCCTAATTCCCAGGGAAGCCGCCCTCTTGAGAAATTCAGCCGCCGATGTTGGCACGACATGATCTAAAAATGCCAGCTGAGCCACCGAGACCATTAGTGGCCAAGATTTCCCCCCCTCGGCGGTGAGTCACATTGTGCTTCTATTTATAAGGAGTAGCAACAGAGTTAATACACATCTATCCACAAAACAACACACATCGGTGTAATAAATTAGTCACTTCTTTCATTGTCAGCTTTAGGGCAATACTTAAAGGCCCCGATCGGATCCCTTTTCATAAAGGGGAAGAATTTCCCAGATTGGCACTTTATAACAAGAGGGATGGCACAGACTCCCTCTGGGTTAGGCATCTGCCGTGCACCCAATTTAGAATAAACCGAATTGGACGGCAAATCAGCATCTTTCATGCTCTGCTTTTGGGGGAGGGGGTGGGGATAAAAGAAGGAAGGAAGGAAAGAAGGAGAAAGAGGGGAGGGAGGAAAGAGGCAAGGAGGAAGGGAGGGAAGGAAGGGAAGAGAAATACAAGAAAGGAGGGAGGAGGAGAAGGAAGAAAGGAAGGAAGGAAGAAGAGGAGAAAAGAGGAAAGGAAGGGAGGGAGGGAGGAAAGAGGGAAGGAAGAGGGAAGGGAGAGAAGGAAAGAGGCATACAAGGAAGAAGGGAAGGGAGAAGGGGAGGAAAGAGGAAAGGAAGGGAGGGAGGGAAGGAAGGAAAGAAATAAAAGGGAGGGAGAGAAGAAGGAAGGGAGGGAGGGAGGAAAGAGGGAAGGAAGAGGGAAAGGAGAGAAGGAAAGAGGCATACAAGGAAGGGAGGGAGGGAGGGAAGGAAAGAAGAAGGGGAGGAAAGAGGGAAGGGTGGGAAGGAAGGGAATTGGGGAGGAAGGGGGAAGGACAGGAAGGAAGGAGAGATAGGTGGGAATGAAGGGAGGGAGGCAAGGAGGGAAGGAAGAGGGAAGGAAGGAGGAAGGGAGGGAAGGAAAGAAGAAGGGGAGGAAAGAGGGAAGGGAGGGAAGGAAGGAAAGAAATAGAAGGAGGGAGGGAGGGAGGGAAGGAAGGAAGAAGGGAGGAAAGAGAGGGATAGAAATAGGAGGGAGGGAAGGAAGGAAGAAGGGANTCAGCGGTTCAAATCTCACCGGCTCAGGGTTGACTCAGCCTTCCATCCTTCCAAGGTGGGTAAAATGAGGACCCGGATTGTTGGGGCGATATGCTGACTCTGTAAACCGCTTAGAGAGGGCTGAAAGCCCTATGAAACGGTATATAAGACTAACTGCTATTGCTATTGCTTTGGGTGGATGAAGTGGTATTTATGTGCATTTATTTATAAAGTATCTTTGTATGCTAGAAACCATGTCGATCAGAAAGGTTGGGCGTTTAGTGGTTCGAATCCCTAGCGCCGCATAACGGAGTGAGCTCCCGTGACTTGTCTCAGCTTCTGCCAAACTAGCAGTTTGAAAGCATGTAAAAAATGCAAGTAGAAAAATAGGGACCACCCTTGGTGGGAAGATAACAGCGTTCTGTGTGCCTTCGGCATTTAGTCATGCCGGCCACATGACCAGAGATGTCTTCGGACAGGGCCGGCTCTTCCACTTTGAAACGGAGATGAGCACCGCACCCTAGAGTCAGGAATGACTAGCACATATGTGCAAGGGGAACCTTTATCTTATGCTAGAAATGATGTACAAAATCAGAATGAACATGATAACTTAGATCAGTGATTCTTAACCTGTGGGGAGCTATGGTGTTGTCATAGAGCAAGGTATCAAACTCAAGGCCTGTGGGCCGGATATGGCCTGCAGGATGCTTAGATCTGGCCCCTTGGAGCCAGCCCTGGAAACAGTGAAGGACTGGTCCATGGTGCCTCTGCCAGCAAAAATGAAGCTAGAGAGTTCTGTGTGTAGCCTTCCTGAGCTCCATTTTTGGTGCTAGAGGGTTGCAGTAAGCTGGTGCAGCCGAAAACGGAGCTCATGAGGAACGTGTATGGCCCTCCCAAGCTCAATTTTCACTGGCAAAGGGTGGCAGGGGGCCGTCACAGAGGTGGCACAGTGGTTAGGGTGCAGTACTGCAGGCCACTTCAGCTGACTGTTATCTGCAGTTCAGCGGTTCTAATCTCACCGGCTCAAGGTTGACTCAGCCTTCCATCCTTCCCAGGTGGGCAAAATGAGGACCCAGACTGTGGGGGC